GGCGGACGAGATGCAGCAACTACTCCCCTCAATAAATCTAATTCACGCTTTAGTCGCTCATTTTCTGTTTTTAAATTGTTACTATTTGGCAAAAGAGTAAAGATAGTTTGACGCGGTGGAACAGGCCGTGGAGAACTGGATAGCGACAAATTTGGCGTTCTTGATATGGTGATAAATGAGTCTACCAGAGTTCGCGATCGTTCAAATCCCCGAAAGCCGCCAAAATCTTCGCCCATAGACCTACGAATTTCTTCTCCCCTTAATTCTAAGTTACGCTCTCTATGTGTTAACTCTTTCCCATGATTTTCAATCTCGCTCTATCTCCTGTCTAGTTCCTTCTGTCATTTATAACTTTCAAACTGCAAATTATTTAACTGTTCTTGGAACAAAATGATTTCTTCCATTCTTTTTCTTACTAATAATTACTTTTCCGCTAATTCGTCATTTAATCCACCCATCGCCTCGTCAGAAATGGGAGAATCCGTTCTAACGCGTGTACGGTCTGTTGCCATTTCAACTACTATGAAATATTTTCCCCTTATATGTGAATTATAGCAACGATCCCACACTAAGTATTCGAGCCAAACTAGGTTTATACTCTCACTTCCCTTTTTTCAATCCCACCGCTGCCACCAGTTTTCGCTCTCCTGTGACGTCCCAGAAGAGGACCGCCAAGGAGCAAGAACAATTTTAGGTAATTCTCCGATCCGATACCGACTTTCCTGCTGTCTTCTCGGCAAAGAGAATAAATGCCTTATTTTGGGTAAGCCTGTAGAGCCAGTCCTTTACCCGGGATCTGGGCTAGAAGCGGAACTTAACCCCCTTAATGAGTAAGAGATGACAACTTACCTTGATGTTATAATTCTCTATGATTTTACGGAATCCTCGGAGGGCGGCCCCCTGTGCTGATTTCCGGAGCTCCTTAATTCCAATTGTGCTGTTGTTGAATTTGGAAGATAGGTACAAGGAATCAGGTGCAAAAGGAGCTTAGTTGTTGGTTCGAATCAATTTTAAAAATTTTAGGTAAAACAACAGTATATTCTTAAGTAAACTTTAACAATAAACAACACAACGTTATGCACAGTATAACTCACAATACAACCACAGACAATAGCAAATGTAGAACTTTTATAAAGGTAAAGATTAAGAAACAATTATCGAGAAACTCGTTTACAAACGTAGCAAGCTTAGTAATAGATGTCGAATTCAATAACAGATGTCGAACCTAATAGCAATTGTCATACTACGAAACAAATATCGAACTTAGTCGACGCAGAAATAGTAGACAAAGGTTCGACGCGAGACACTCGACTTATGGTGTTAGGTCTTACTGATCGACCCACGGTAACAGATATTAAATTTTAAAAACCGTCAAAATTACTAAGGTTCACGCAATAGACTAATTTATGAAGCAAAATAATCAAAGTATTGTAGTAGACTTTTTATGTGTTTTAATTATAATGGTTGCCGGTAGACTGACAGCGAGGAGTCTCTAAACTCCCCACGTCGAGTCCTGCACGGCCGAGTGGGAGGTACCCCCACTCGCGCTAGGTGCTTCCTCTACTACCGACCCTTACCAGCCCGTGGGAAAGCAATCTGCTGATCTTTTAGGTCTGCACGTGTGAATAAGTATTAGTTACAAACAAGCTCCAAACTGCTGTCGTCAGCTAAGAATGGAATTTGCCTCGAAAAAATATCATTAACTATCAAGCGCTAATTCCCGGTAGCGACTAAAGTATCAGGTTACTATCAGGCTGAAATTCCCGGAACTGCACGTGCGCCCCTCACCTGAGCCAAGAGATTTCCTTTCATTGCACGTGTGCTCTATTACGACTGTGGAAATTTTATGTTACAGCCAACATTATTACTTCATATAATTGTTATTAACTATTTGTTCTATTAATTAACAATAACTGTTAAAATTTATTCCCAATTAAAAAGAACAACAAAATATATAACAATGTTATCTGCAGCAACCATTTAATTAAAGATAAATGCAAAATGGCCATTGGTATACCAACCAAGTGTTAATAGCATGTTTCGGTAATGTAGGAGCACGAAGTCGGTATTACAGATTTGCACTTAACGAACGACCTGACTACCGACCCTATTTGTAGGTAAGGTAGGCCTTCACATGAGCGACAATCGATCCGTACCATTCTAATTTCCATATGCAACAAAAATGCAAATATCGATGGTCGTTCATAAGAGTACCACTCAGATAAAAGTTCAAATCATACAATATGTAGAGAAAAACATCGCGTACTAAAATATTAGGATACAAAAAAATATAGATACAAATTTGTTAATGAAGAAAAAGAAAATATTAACGCTAAATATATAAAATTATGAGAAAATTCAGATTAACTATAATTACTTGAATTTTCGAAATTAGATGTCACTATGACGTGAAACTAAAAAGCTGCGAAAACTTTTTTTGAAAATATTAAAAAGTTTTTAGATAAGGCACGATGTGCTATTAGAGAAATTACAGAATGGATGTCAGGTTGACTACAATCGAGTTTCTATGAAAAATAATTGAATTCTAAACGTAAAGTAACCAAAAAATGTCGTAATGAAATGATTTTTTTCCTTTTTCTTGACTGCAGTTGTCCAAATATAAATTAATTTAGCATAATTCTTTCGGACTTAACACTTATTATTTGTAAGTATACGCTTTAAAGCTTGAAAGAAAACGTTTCATAGCGTCTGTTAAATAGCACTTTTTTAGATTGTATTTATTTTATAACTACGATTTAATCTAGAAAGTGACGAATATTTTTTTTTTAATATAAAAATACATTTTTTGCAACGGTAAATATGATCTACTAGCGACTAAACAAAATGGACGTCAGGTTTACTACAAACGAGTTTCAGTGAAAAATGAATTAAATTCTTCACGTAAAGTAACAAAAAAAAGTTGTAATATAATAATTTTTTTTTTTTGGACTGCAGGTG